TGCCAAGGTGGCCGGGCTCACCAGGGCTGGACATTAACATTGAGGAGCCAGAGGGGAGGAAAGGTGGGGCCCGGAGCCCCGCCAGTGGCAGGCCAGGTGGGCAGCAGATTGACCCCCGGGCAGCCAGCAGCAGTGAAAACTCTTAAAGAGATGGGAGTACCAGACTACCTCACCGATCTCCTGAGAAACCTCTATGCAGGATGAGAAGCAACAATTAGAACTGAACATAGAACAATGGACTGGTTCAAAATTGGGAAAAGAGTACAACAAGGACGTTTATTATCATGCTGCTTATTTTACTTATATGCAGAGTACATCATGTGAAATGCCAGGCTGGCTCACAAGCTGGAATCAAAATTGCTGGGAAAAATATCAATAACCTCAGATATGCAGATGATACCACTCTAATGGTAGAAAGCAAAGAGGAATAAAGAGCCTCTTGATGAGGGTGAAGGAGGAGAGTGAAAGAGCCAGCTTAAGACTATATATANACAGAGGATGAGATGGTTGGATGGCATCACTGACTCAATGGATACAAGTTTGAGCAAACTCAGGGAGATGGTGAAGGACAGGGAAGCCTGGTGTGCTGCAATTTATGGGGTTACAGAGAGTCAGACACAATTTAATGACTGAACAACAACAATAAAGGAAAATCATCTGAAAAAGAATATATATATATGTACACACACACACAACTGAATCATTTTGCTGTAAACATGAAACTCACACAGTATTGTAAATCAACTATACTTCAATAAAAAAAAATAGGGACTCTCCTGGTGGTCCAGTGGTTAAGAATCTGCCTTGCAAGGCAGGAGATGCAGGTTTGACCCCTGGTTGGGGAACTAAGATCCCACAAGCCTCAGGCCAACTAAGCCTGCATGCCGCAACTAGAGAGGCACATAGACTCCAACTAGAGAGAGCCTGCCTGCCCCAACAAGCACCCAGCACAGTCAGAATTTTTTAAGAAATAAATAATACAGGAGAATATAAACACAATGGAGCCTTCCCAAGTGAAATTTCCTGGTGTCTAAGCTCTATTTTGAAATACTCCACAGAAATAAAGTTTCAGTTCAGAGTGAGGAGAGGGATACATGAAAAAAAAATAAAGGGATATGAGTTGGTTAATGGTTGAAACAGTGATATGGACATGAGAGACAATATTCTACACTCACCGCTTTTATTGAGGCTTGAGAATTCCGCACCCCCCCCCTCCAAAATTAAAACACAGCTGAGCAGAGGGATCTCAGGAAGGAAACCAAGGTTGATGAGCCGGCGCCAAATTCTGAGGCCATGGAGAGTTCTTCTTTCAAGATGAGGTCTTCATTGAGTTTATTTGCTGCTCGGTCTATGAGCTGAAGTGCAGGGTTGCAGACAAGCCCGAATGACCGTGTGGCAGTCTCATTACCACAGGATGGACCCCGATGCTCTTGGCTTGCAGTTTGCAGCATCAGCTTCCGAGAGCATCTCTTTCCCCACTAAGAGTGGTGTGGCTTACCCCCATAGCTAGCCCGGAATGGCAGCTGAAGCTGGAGGTAGAGCATATTTGGGTTTATTGGAGGAAGACAGGGTCAAGCTTCTGGGTTAACAGGATCCGACAGGAATGCCCAGCTGTCAGTCTCTACACACGACCCCAGAGCTCAGGGCCCTCTTTGCCCAGGGCGGGTGGGGAACATGGGGGCTCCACACACTTAAAAGGAGAGGAATGACATGTATTGATTTGCTTGTGTGCTGGTTTAATATGTGTAGCCTTTTTACTTAGCTCTGTGTTCCATGAGCTCCGGGACTGTTTTATTTTTTATTCAGCGTTGCCTGGGGTCTAACTCAGTGGAGGAGCGACGTAAATGTTTGCGGAATTGAAATAAAGTTGAATTGAAGAATGACAAAGTGGTCATTAAAATATACCCAAGGATTTAACTTGCCCAGTCCTTCTGTTCAGATTCACTCAGATCCTCTCTCCCTCCCTCTCTCTCCTTCCCCAGGAGGGGTGATTAATAATTCAGCAAACAATAGTGTATTCTGATGGCTCCGAATATAACAGTTTAATTGATATTTGTTTCTGCAGCAGTGCAATATCTCATTTTCCCAGGAGGGCAGTTTTCCATTTCTGTTCCAGGTTTCTCCCAACAAAACAGATCAATCCTGGGAATACCTGAAGGCCATTTGTTACGAAAGAAAGAATGAAGGTAGCGGGTTTGAAAAAGACACAGTTCTGTAGCAATTGGGTTTTTAAACACTGACATTTATTTAGGGGTTTGTCAATTCATACATTATTAGGATAAATTCTAATTTATATCAGTATATAATAGGCAAATATATAATACCATAAATTGCATTTGTATACATAAATACAAAATTTGAGGTAGGGCCTCAAGAATAATGACTTCTTAAATGAATAATGCACAGTATATAATATGTACTCTATAAGATATATATATATGATGCATCATTTATAATGTAATATATTTTCTTCATGTACAGTTAATGAAAAAATATAAGGACCTGATTAGGGAACATATCTTTATTCATAGGCGACAGGACCACATAAGATGCCTGCATTAAGGACAATAGCCAAGTACGCAGTTAAAGAATAAACCTATCCCATGATAGGTCCATATAAAGTGCAAAAAAAAGACCAAAAGAATGAGACACAAAACAGTTCCTAGTCAGTTACTAAGTATCATCCTAACAATAAAATACACCTATAAGGCAGATGGTTACCTGAAGATGTATTTAATCCATGGCAGGCAAATCAAGCCACTGCTCCCTCTTCAGGGGTGATGAAAACCCAATCTGGGAACACTTTCTCTTTGGCTGCAGGCTGCTCAGAGGTGACCAAAGCAGAGACCACGATTCAAAATCACTTGGTCTTTCTGCACAGTTGAAGCAAAGTCCAGGAAAGAGAGCTTTACTTTTGCAAATCCTCAGACCACTTTGCAGAGAAATCAGCATTAAGGTTAGATCATCCAAACCTTTGCTCCCAACCTGGAGGTTTCCGATACAATACCCAGGAGGAAACAGAGGTGAGACTCATTCGTTGGCCTTGGCCTGTTTTCTCTGCAAGAGAACCTACCACCCAGCCTGCAGAAGTGTCTCACAGACCCAAATCCAGGTAGCAGCAGCAGGATCTTGCAATGAGCTCCGGGACTGTTTTATTTTTTATTCAGCGTTGCCTGGGGTCTAACTCAGTGGAGGAGCGACGTAAATGTTTGCGGAATTGAAATAAAGTTGAATTGAAGAATGACAAAGTGGTCATTAAAATATACCCAAGGATTTAACTTGCCCAGTCCTTCTGTTCAGATTCACTCAGATCCTCTCTCCCTCCCTCTCTCTCCTTCCCCAGGAGGGGTGATTAATAATTCAGCAAACAATAGTGTATTCTGATGGCTCCGAATATAACAGTTTAATTGATATTTGTTTCTGCAGCAGTGCAATATCTCATTTTCCCAGGAGGGCAGTTTTCCATTTCTGTTCCAGGTTTCTCCCAACAAAACAGATCAATCCTGGGAATACCTGAAGGCCATTTGTTACGAAAGAAAGAATGAAGGTAGCGGGTTTGAAAAAGACACAGTTCTGTAGCAATTGGGTTTTTAAACACTGACATTTATTTAGGGGTTTGTCAATTCATACATTATTAGGATAAATTCTAATTTATATCAGTATATAATAGGCAAATATATAATACCATAAATTGCATTTGTATACATAAATACAAAATTTGAGGTAGGGCCTCAAGAATAATGACTTCTTAAATGAATAATGCACAGTATATAATATGTACTCTATAAGATATATATATATGATGCATCATTTATAATGTAATATATTTTCTTCATGTACAGTTAATGAAAAAATATAAGGACCTGATTAGGGAACATATCTTTATTCATAGGCGACAGGACCACATAAGATGCCTGCATTAAGGACAATAGCCAAGTACGCAGTTAAAGAATAAACCTATCCCATGATAGGTCCATATAAAGTGCAAAAAAAAGACCAAAAGAATGAGACACAAAACAGTTCCTAGTCAGTTACTAAGTATCATCCTAACAATAAAATACACCTATAAGGCAGATGGTTACCTGAAGATGTATTTAATCCATGGCAGGCAAATCAAGCCACTGCTCCCTCTTCAGGGGTGATGAAAACCCAATCTGGGAACACTTTCTCTTTGGCTGCAGGCTGCTCAGAGGTGACCAAAGCAGAGACCACGATTCAAAATCACTTGGTCTTTCTGCACAGTTGAAGCAAAGTCCAGGAAAGAGAGCTTTACTTTTGCAAATCCTCAGACCACTTTGCAGAGAAATCAGCATTAAGATTAGATCATCCAAACCTTTGCTCCCAATCTGGAGGTTTCCGATACAATACCCAGGAGGAAACAGAGGTGAGACTCATTCGTTGGCCTTGGCCTGTTTTCTCTGCAAGAGAACCTACCACCCAGCCTGCAGAAGTGTCTCACAGACCCAAATCCAGGTAGCAGCAGCAGGATCTTGCCATCACACTTACATGAAGCATTAGTTATTGTGCAAGTCTCTGGTGAAAAGAATGATGACCAATGGCCAAGGGAACAAAGAGAGAAGAAAAAAAATCTTAGTTTTAGGCATGGGAAAACCATGCTGACAGGTCAAGTTTATCAGAAGCACTGAGGCACATACAGATAACAGAACTAGAATTTAAAGGAAAACTCAACTCCAGTGCAACATTAGCAAAGACAACCCAAGTCTTATCCATTTCCGGGTCATTGTGTTCAACGTCCTTTTAAAGTGCCGCTCACTGAAATACAAGTTGACTCCATTTCTGACCTATTAAAGACACATTGGAAATTTCAAAGACGTTGAGGTCATCGAGATTTTGCATTGACCACAGATTTCATGCAATAAATAAATATAAGAGAGAAAGAGAACAGACCAAACTGGACACATTTGTACATGACAAATACACAGCCTTAAAGAGATAAGAGATTAAAAGTTACTAATACACAAGACAAATCAATGCGTAAGAAGCCACAACACCAATTGTTAAGACATACACATATTTTTCTCTTTTAAGGATATTACAGGGTTACTGTTTTTAACATATGGCTTTTTTTTTTTTTCTCGGAATGGGTTTCTGGCATTTGTTGGTATCAGGAAACAATTTCACAAGTAGAAAACACCCCACCATTCTGCACAGTAAACCAATGCAAGCCTTTCCTCAACAACTTGGCTTTTGTCTCCATTCTCAAGTCGCGCTTTATGACAATGCTGTTCATTTCATTTTTATTCATTCATTTTTTTCCTTCCACTTGACTGTGCATTTCAATAGCATGGAAACATCCATGTGGTCATATGCATCTCAGCTCTTAGCATCCCAGCCAAGCCTAGCGGAGGCACAGCATGAGCAGACTGGCCATGAGTGGAGACAACTCAGATACCCAGCACTACTCTGGCAAGGAAAGCCTCAAAAGTTAAACAAGACTGTAGAAAGAGACAAAACTAAATTCACAAGGTAACCATTCCCAGATAAGCTCAGAACCTTCCACCTTTAAGGACACTGTACACAAAATTTGGACGCTATAGGAAAAAAGTTTTAAAAATACAGACAGACACACACACATAAACCCAGTTGCTCAGAGAACAGCCCCTGGGTCTTAACTGGACAAACTGTAATGAACACAAATGCAAAGTGCAAAATGCACTAGTTAGTGAGGCTGTCCCCATTCTCATAATGAATCGAACTTGCGGTGTGTACAGAACAAATCTGGCAGCATCCATGAGTTCACCTCATCCCCTTTTTAATCACAACAGCAACAATTAACAGAAATTGGGTTGGCATCCAGCATCCGACTCAAACTTTAGCCAAGAGGCAAGAGAGGAAAGCCAGAAGCCACGCATCCTGATGGAAACCCATCGTTCCCATGGGAGGGTGCCAATTGATTTCAGTGCTTTTCTTCAATGTTCAAATTGGAAAGGCTGCAGATCCTTTCCAAACCAAAGCTAGTCCTCCCTTCCTCTCCCACCCCGTCAGATACCAAGGGGAGAGGCTAATTTTTGGTACCACCGTGCGGGATCTGCTAGAGCCCTGGGGACTTCTCTTCAATATGGCTTTCTCGGGGAAACCAATGTTAATGCTGGACATGTCACTATGGGAAACATGGGCAGGAAGGTCATGGCTCAGTTTCCTAAAGCTAAGTCTAGGGGAAGCTTAGGGTTTAATCTCTGTGATGGATTCCAGTAAGTTCTAGCTTTGGGAGGCAAGCAAGCAGAAAAAAGGAACAGGAGGAGGAAGAACAAACACGCCTTGAAAACAAAAGAGATGAAAAACCTGAAGTTCGAAACCCATCTGCGCTTCCTTTTTGGAAAGTTTCCACAGACTACTCTTCAAAACCGGAAGTTCACATGGCAAATGACAATGATATCTGCCCCAGAAAAGAAAGAGCTCAGTAAGATGAGCTATTTTTTTTTCTTTAACAAATGAAGTTATTTTTTAAAAAAGTATTACTTTAAGGTCTGTTGTTGGGTTTCGTTACTGTTGAAAAGGATGAAAATGTCACATCAATATACAAGATTTGAACTGAAAATTTTGCCTGAGACCCTGAAATATGAACACAAACAAATAAGAAAATGATTGCAATGGTCTCCCCTAAGGAAACAATTTTAAGTTTAGATATTATTACTGTAAGGGAAAAAAAAAAAAGACTATACTATACTATACTCACCATCTCTACAGTGATTCATAAGATATTTACAAGGACAGAAAACACCATTACAAGTACACACTACGTGAACACATATCACATTTAAAAAATCTCATATATGCATGTTCAGGATACAAGAAGACAATAGAGGTTTCAGCTTCGCCAATCTCTGTAGACATATGATCCGCTCTCATTAGAGTGTGATTATGAGTATTGTGAATCGGGAACTCTTCAAATGGTATCAGCTAAGTGTAGTCTTAAAAGCAGTAGCTCTAATTGGCTCACCTGCTACTTACCTAACCTGCATCTTTCAGAAACTTCTGTACCTACAGTGACCTAAAGTGCAGTGAGTATTATGGTTGCTTTCTCTTCAACTCTCCACTTCTTTGATTCAATAGCTTCAACTGGCATTAACTGTGAGTGAAAAACTGAAGTGTAACAACTGAGACATGATCTGTCTTTCGAGAGTTTGTGTCTGATATATGTAACAGACAGACAGAACCAGGGTAAGTGTGTTTCTGAGCGACAAGGTCACAGAAAGACATCTGGATGAGAAGACACGTGTGATGTGACACTGAACCACGGTACTAGGCCTCCGGAGAAACTACAAGGGCACTCTGGTATGACTGTGACATCTGGCACAAATAATATGATGCAGAGGTAGAGGAAAGGACCCAAAGAATTCACAACTATGGTCATTAAAAAAAAAACCAACTGAGGGAACAGAGCTGACTCTTCATTGAGGGTCTCAGCTTGCAGAGAGAAAGCCTGTGAGTCCTTGAGATAGTTTGTCCAAGTGATGGAAACAGAGCCCCAGTCATGGATGGAAATGGGAACTTCATCACCTTGGGGGTGTCTGAATCCACCGGCCTCATCTTACTTGAAAACATTCTCTGACCACTGCCCACCCTCCAGAGGTACCGTGTCCTCAACTGTGTGTGCCTGGACGAAACCACGACATGGCTCAGATGAGTCCAAACCAACCGTCTGGTTATCCTGCATCAGCCTGACTGGCCCCACCAGTGACAGTCACAGAGGAGGCTTCCCTACGGACCAACTCACGGACATCTACACGTGACTTGGCTGGGAGGCGCTCCCCTCATTGATTCGAGCCTGTGAGGCAAAGCCCACTGAAAACTGACAGCGTGGACGCAGGCAAACCGAGCCCCGTCTGGCTCTCGGCTACAGCATGCAACACTATGTCCTACTTTTCTAAGTCATCACTCTCATGCACAGGTATGAACCGAGATGTGCGGAGAAGGAAGAAGACAAATGGGAAGACGGCTGGGGAAAGCATCAGGAAAAGGCAGAGAGGAGAAAGAGAATCAAGTCTGGGCCATCCCATGCCATCGGACTAGCACTGGGTGCCTAGTTCCAAATCCTTCACTGGCAGTTTGAGTCCCAGCGAAGAGGTCCCCAAGGGGTCGATCATGTTCTTGTAACGCTCCCCACGGTGCTGAGCTAAGAAGGGACCCCAGTCCGGCTGCGGCGAGCACACCAACTTCAACCTCTGCAAAGAAGACACACAGGGTCACAGAAGCAAAGCACCCTTGTCCCCCAGACACCACTCACCCATCCGCAAACTGCATGCGATCACATGTGCCAGGACACCTCCTGGAACCAAGAGGTCCTCAACCGGGAGAAGCAGTTAGGAAGACCAGCCCCGTTAATTAACGAGGCCAGGAATGTGTTACGGAGGAAACTTAGTTTAGTTCACCTGAAATTATTTACATCACCCTGCAATCAATAGTACAGTTGCTCAGGGTTTGCCATGCATAAGATTAATAGAAGATAAAGGGCCCAGATTCTAATTATACATTTTTTTCCCCTCCAAATGGAGAGGATCCACAAGCTACTTTCTCTACTGCCAAACACATTCTGCAAAGGACATGTACTCAATTACTTTGTTCTAGTCTCAACAGTGAGTTGTTACATCAAAATAATTGGATTTTGTTTAGCATATTTCCCAAAAGTATATAAATGGCCAGAAAAAAAACCCTCAACCCCAAAGATACACTGCCAAGAGTGAGCAAAGATTTTAATTATCTGTTGACAAAAATATATGCTTCTGACTTGGTTCAAAAGTGTGGGTTCTTGCAGGAGAGCTAAAAATAATGGGAATGTCTCTAATCCTTGAACTGAACATTTCAGGGAAAACATAATTTGACTGGAGCATTTTCTAGAATAAGGAAAAAGAAGGCAGATTTCTGACTACATCAGAGGGAACAATGATGTGTTTATTACCTATTAAAAAGAAGCTGCTTCTTATAGCTGTTAGTTTAATCTCCCCCTTAATCATCAGTTTGCAACCTTTGTGTCCCAAACTAACCATAATAAATTTATATTGCCGACTCATCGGTTTAGAGGATTTCAGCCTAAGACAAGAGTAGCAGAGGCTAACGCAGCTTCTGTTCAGAAGGAAAGAGGTTACTGGGTCAGGGAGTGGGAGTCCACCCGAGGCTGGAGCAAGCCATCCTTGGCGGGGAGTGGACCATGTCAATGCACCTTAAGGAGGTAACAGAGAGAATTTCCTGAGGATGGAACCTGGACCAGTGCTTCAGGAAGAAAACTCCTGCATCTCTCCGCCAACTCTGCCTCCATCTTTAGTCCAGAAAAACAAAGATAACCTCCTCATCGCATGCACATTCACGTAGCCTACTCACTCACGTGCTCCCTTCCCATCTGCTGTTCCCCTCCCGAGCCTGAGATGCCCCAGGGCACTGTCTTCCTCAATCTGGCTGACCGAAGGCAAAGCCCACCAAGCTGTTCCTCACCACCCGCATCTACACATGTGTTTCTTCACCTCGTTCTCATCCAGGGCCTCTCAGGCTTGCATTCGCATCAGAACCACCTGGGGGCTTGTTACACCATGGCCACCAGAGCCCCACATCCCCGAGATTCTGGTTCAGCGGAGCAGAGTTGGAGCCTGATTACTTGCATTTCCAGGAAGCTCCCAGGCTTCCCTGGCGGCTCAGATGGTAAAGAATCTGCTTGCAACACAGGAGACCTGAGTTCAATCCCTGAGACGGGAAGATCCGCTGAAGAAGGGAATGGCAACCCACTCCAGTATGGAGAATTTCATGGACAGAGGAGCCTATATACCGTCCATGGGGTCACAAAGAGTCAGACATGACTGAGGGACGAACACTTTGACTTTCAAGCTCCCAGGTGGTGCTGGTCCCTGGGCCAGGCCCTGAGTAGCACTGATCTGGTTCAAAACAGCAGCCCGCTGGACCTCCAAGACAAGGCAGCACGGATCGCTTCCTAGCACGTCTGAGCACTTGATTTCTCATGAATAACAAAAGCCCGACCACACTTCACCGGTGGCTCAGCAAGCGGCTGTCCCCTTACCATCCTCTTCTGGAGTGAGGGTGGGGAGCTTTTCGCATGAGGAATGGGAAATGGGTTCAGCAAGGGACTAACTAAGATAAGCATCACCTCATACCAGCCATGTCCTGGACCTTTCATTACATTCTACAGGAGTGTTACATTCTAGTGACATGTTAACCAGCTTGGATCCCTCAGCTGAGCCTAGTGATTTTAAATGTAACTGGTAAATAGGTGTTTGGAGGGGGAGCTGCCTCCGACAGAGAGAAACATCAGGAAAGGGGCGATCTGCTGTGTGGTTAACAACCAAACGCTGGGATTTAAACTCTGGGTGAAAAAAATAGTAATAATAAATAAACTCTGGGTGAGGGGAGAGGAGGAGGGGGCACGTGGAGAGAGGAGACACTCTGATCACTTATTTTTCAGAGCTGTCACTGCTCTGGGGAAGAACACAATAACAGCTCGGGAGCCCCTCCATTAGAGGAATGACACATAATAAAAACAGGTTTAATAGAAACGATAGCAACTGTAACCATTTAATCACCCAGTCTCCCGCTAGAATAAGTTTACCGAATCTTTTGTTTTTTTTTTTAAAGCACAGAGCTCTCAGAGCTTGTCCCCTGGGAGGGAACCGGCAGGCGTAGGAACTGATACAATTACCTCAATAAATCTGCCAGGAGCCAGATGCATCTTTATGACAAACATAATCGGGATCCAAATAACGGAGCAGGCAAGCATGAGCCAACCAAGCACCATGGACCAGCTCGGGTACCGGTAAGAGCCATAGGTCATGGGCTCCCACTGGTAGAAGCTGAAGCAGAGGATGAACTGGGAAGAAAAGAGAAACACACATGTTAGGGTGGGGACGTGAGTATGCCCTCAACAGTCACGTGTCAGACCCCTGCTGTGAGCTGGCTGCTTTCATATCTATTAGCTCCTTTCCCCCCGTGATGATCCTGTAAAGGAAGTATTATTACTACATTTTCCAAATGAAAGAACTGGATTTCAAAGATGAACTGACACACACTGAGGTGCTGAAGCTGTACTTGTCAGCGCATAAAAACTCAGCAATGCACGTGGGTGTCTATACACTCAGAGGGGCTGAGAGGACGGATTTCAAGGATGTACACCAGGGTGACTGAGGGGTGGAGGTGGCAGAGGGGATGGTGAGTGTTTTCAAGGGGCTGTCTCTGCTTGCTATAACTGATGATCCAGCCTGAGTGATAAGGGGAAAATCCACTAGGTTAATGTGGAAAACGAATTGCATCTACTCTGCTTTCACCTTGAATGGGGAAAGGACCATCTCCAGGAGCTGCCTCTGAAGCTGGCTAAGTGGTCCCCGAGCAGTGGCTGAGCAGGAAGTCTGGTTCTATAATCAGCGGTGGGACAAAGAGAAGGGCGGCCCTGCCCCCCTCAAAAGACACGAGGTGGACGCGCCACCAAACGGCGAGCTGGGGACAGGCTCATCTCAGCTCTACCGCTTACTAGCTGAGGGACCCGTATGTTTCTGTCTCAGACTTTTCTGCTATAAAACAGATCCATTTCACACCCGGTGGACAACACAGGGCTTCTCTGGAAACAACAGTCTGCTATTTACTCAGGGGACCCTCTCCCTTTTCTGTTGTTGCTTTTTTCAAAAATTGTTTATTTGGCTGAGCTGGGTCCTAGCTGTGTCTCGTGAGATCTTTAGCTGCAGCAAGTGATTTCTGAGTTGCAGCATATGGGATCTAGTTCCCGGACCAGGGATCAAACCCAGGCCCCCTTCATTAGGAGCATGGAGTCTGAGCCACTAGACCACCAGGGAAGCGCCGCCCCCTTCACTTTTAAGAGAGGTCATGATTCATTTTCAGCCCTTGATGCCCCCTCGCCACGCACTTTGGCAGACAACAGTGATGAGAAACCTCTGAAAACGGTTAGTGCAGCTGCAAAGAAACAGATATGTTGGGAAAAGGAGGCACAAGGAAAGACAGAAGAGGGGTCCTAATGGCTGTGTTGGGGGAGGGAGCACTACCCTCAGGAAGTGGAGTTCTCCCCTGTTTTCAACCCACCTATGGCAGCCTCTGCCTAGAACAATGTATCCACCTACTTCCTCCCTCCTCCTCACCTCTCTTGTTCTATCTTCAGCAGTAAAAGAATTGCCTGAAAATGATTGGAGGGAATTCTGTCAGGAAAGATAATACATGGAAGTGTTTTGGAAAAGTGGGAAGCATTATACAAATGTAAGGCATCTTTATGATTGCTACAAACCCCGGACTGCTGGGGTAAGTGATTATTCCAATGCAACAGTAATTCAATATATGGATTCAAAGCAACAAGAGCCTGAAGACAGTGGTTGAAAATACTGCTCCTATAAGAGATATATCGACTCTAGGCCCCCTTTAGAACATTTGCCCCAAGAGTTACAAGCTTTATTAACCAGTCTATTGGAAATAGGGCTTAATGTAATTATGGTAAGTTGCTCCATTTCATTTACTATATAAATAGCAATACATCTGCTTATGTGTGCATAAGTCAGTAACATGATCTGCCTATGTATACAATAATTGCATGCAGAATATTTATAGCTCTATAAATTAATGAAGGCACATATAAAAATAATCAATTTTATTTCAGGGGTTTTGAAGTCAATGAAGCCCATAATTTCAGCTCGGTCTAGTCTCCTACAAGATAGCTGTGTTACAGAAGGGCAAATGGCCAAAAAGGAATGGTTAGGCTTGGTCCTCTGACACCATTTCCTGTTACACAGGTACCACATCAAATTTATCTGTGTAAACTTGTTCTTGCCATCAATTTCACCCTGCCAAATCCGTTTTGCTAAAACCCTGCTCTCAGATGAACCTGGCCATGAGAAAAGATAATTTAGCCATGGAGCCAGGTCCACCTGACATTCAGCTGATGGCAACAGAAGGTGATGCTGATGAGGGAACTGACCACTTCTTCCTGTCTCTAGCTCCTAAACACAGAGGGAAGATTTGGCGGAAAATATTTTCTGGAACCTTTCCACAGGTTTTTGTGGAGAGTTTTATAATGGAAACTGAGTAATGCACAGCACAGTTGAGGCACTTTCTCAAGAAACGCAGCCAGTCCCCATTATCCCTTTTCTCTGAGATTCTGCTCCTAAAGAAGACTGGGATGATTTTAATCCAGAATTGGCCACACTCCACTTGGAGATGAAAGCAACTAGGCTTTTAGAAATGCATTAGAAGTGTGTTTAGACAGGTATCATCTTGAAGCCTAGATAGCCTTGAATTCGAGTCTTATTCTACCCCCTGCAAGCTCCTCAGCCTCTCCAAGCCGCAGCACACACATCTGTAAAGTGACGGGAGAATCACCCAGCAAGCAGGGTGGTCAGCAGCTTAAAAGACAATGTTCCTAAAGAGGCTGCCTGATGCTAGACCCCACAGGTCGTCACGTTGATTATCACTGTGTGATACATTTCTGCAGAATACAGCAAGATTCTTTGAAGCTTAATCTGTTCTAAGACGGGAGGCAAAGGTCAAAAGAATCTGGGACAGATTCTAACTTTGATTTCACCCGAGAATAAAACGTGTGTAGTAGTAACAGGAGGACCTGGCGAAGCTCAGCAGAGGTAGGGAAAACAGCAGAGGCAGACAGGGGAGCGGGTGGGGGTGTCTCCTGTTCTCTCCGCAGATGGCTAAATCCATCAGTCCTGAATTCAAGAAGCTGCAAAATCTGCCTTAATCTTTTTCAGCTCTCATGTCCCCAGCCTGGTGGGGCTTTTCAGACAAATTGCAGCCTCTGATAGGTGATATCAGATACAGATGCAGACGTAGACACAGATGTGGCTTCTACATGCTGTCTCGGGTCAATGCCGAGGGAGGGAAATACTGAATGTTTTTTCTGTCTAAACTTCTTTTTCAGAAAGAAATTGAGATGTGTTGATTAAAACTCACTCTGTGACAGTTTTTAGGGTGTTTTTTGGTTTTTGGTTTTGTTTTAAGGAAAATATCTGTTTACTATTTCACGGTTATGTTCGGTTAAAGAAGCTGTTACGGTGCAGCGAAAACAAAGGTCTTAATCTGGTTTCGAGTGCCACCTGCTGGGCTCAGCAGGAACTACAGCCAGCTTCCTGCAGCCTTTGACCACAAGCCAGGGAGGAAGCAAGACAAGGTCTCTTGTCAGTTACTGTGCTTGGAGAGTGGATGGAGGCAAAGCCAGAAGCTCAGCCACAATAAAGGAGCAGATGACAGGACGTGCATGTGAGTCTCCATGCAGATTTACTGGTACACGAAGGGCTCTGATCTTTAAGAAGATGAATGTCAGATGATCTCAAAATGTCATCATCACACTTGAGGATGATAAGATAGTCCTCAAAAGCAATAAAAATGAACAATAAAAGTCTAACTTCTGCTATATATATTAGTTGTATAGTGGCTGTGTTAAGCAGTGTTTAAGAGTTCTAGAGACAGACTGCCTGGGTTGAAAACCAGGCTGATGTTACAATGAATAGTTCTACAATATCAGTTTCCTCCTCTGTAAAATGGAGATGATGAACTCCTGTAGGGGAGAGATGAGATGGTACATAAAAAGCACTGTGTTCAAAGGGTGTACCGTGGTTAGCGTGTGGGAGCTGGGATCACATGAGGCAGACTGATACAATGGGAAATGCTCCCTAGGGATGCTCCGAGCCAACCATGAGTCCTAGCTCTGCCCCCACCCCTCCATCAGCCTGGCGCCTTTGGGCAAGGTGCTTCATGTCTTTGAGCTTCAGTTTCCTCAGCTGAAAGACAGGAATAATATCCATCCTACCAGCCCCCCAGGCTCATCTGTATGTAGGCACACGTCTTGTTCAACATAAAGCATCGCATATGCATGCAAGGTGCCACCGGCATGATAAAGCATGCAGTCCTTACAGTTAAAATGGTTGGAGTCACAAAGGCCCAGCAGACTTTCCAGAAAATGTTTGGCTGGAATCCAATCATCATCTCGATATCTTCACAGAACCTTTGCAAGCCTGCAAAGAGACAAACACAGATGGAGCCTGAGGGGTGGTAGCAGGGGGTGAGATGCAGCAGTGGACAGCAGGAGCGCCCCTCACTTGCCTGTCACTGGCTGGGATGGCCCCCTCTTGCTGTCAACATGACCCCTGTTACATAGGAAACCATCAGACAGATGACTCACTGCGGGAAGATGAAGGCAAATGGAATGTTTAAATAGATAGCAAACACGCTCTGCAGTGAAGTTCAACATGAGATGTCATCCCACGGTCCCAGCTAGAAAGCTCCATCCCAGCCTAACCCAGGCATCTCCACGTTGCCACAGGCTGACACAGTCACCTGTGTGGCTGTTTTCACAGGAGGGCTCATGGGTTCAGCAACCAACTCTGGCAAACCCGATTATGATCGTGAACAAGAAGCACAGTGTATTATGAAAGCCTTGGGATTTCAAGGGAGACTCACTGTATGTTGCTTTTTATCCCCCATCCTCCCAAGGATGGGTTTCCCTGGTGGCTCAGCTGGTAAAGAATCCGCCCACAAGGTGGGAAACCTGGGTTTGATCCCTGGGTTGGGAAGATCCCCTGTAGAAGGGAATGACTACCACTCCAGTATTCTGACCTGGAAAATTCCATGGACTGTATAGTCCATGGGATCACAAAGAGTCAGACACAACGGAGGGACTTTCACTCACTCCCAAGGACACTCTTCCATGAGTCAATTTATCTCTGCTCCATGGAAGATGGATAAGGACAGGCAAGAACCAATGTGACTTCCACATGGCTATCACCCACTTTGTTGGAACTCAAAGGATTGTGGTCTTCTTGGTCGCTGATCAACATAACTATGTAAAGTAAAAAGCAGATGAGAGTTTTTCTCAGGGCCCCAAATAACCAGCATCCACTCTTTGAAAGGAAAAGCCACAGAGAATTTTTGAGGAGGAAGCAATTTCTTGTATTGTTTCCTGAACTCATCAGAAGTGAGGCTTTCTCAGAACTGGGGGGTTGCCATGCTGAAGAGACGTGAGAGGGCCCTGAGTTTGAGCCCCTTCATAGACGGCAGTTCTGACTGGTCGCCCCAAATAATGGGCCACCACAAGCAAGAACTGCACACTTTAAGAAGCTATGTGACCATCTTCGGGTTTGCTTGTGTCTCATTTCCCATCGTCAAACTCCTTCAATGACTTGCCTCTCGACACTAGACCCTCTGGACGTAAGTGAGGGTTAGAACCAAAAAAGAGATGAAAGTTAAAGATGAGGACCTCAGATGAACCTATTTGCAGGGCAGCAATAGAGACGCAGACACAGAGAACAGGCTTGTGGACACACTGGGGCGGGATGAATGGAGAGAGCAGCGCTGAAACACACACATCACCATGTGTAAAACAGTGGGAACTCACTGCACCACGGGGACCTCACCCTGGCGCTCTGGGGCAGTCTAGAGGGGTGGGATGGGGCGGGGGTGGGAGGGTCAGGACATAGTATCCCTATGGCTGATTCACGTCGCTCTATGGCAGAAACCAACACGACACTGTACAGCAATTATCCTCCAATTAAAAATAATTTTTAAAAAATGAGGACCTCAGAAACCCACATGAAACCTGAAAGTGGGACTCAGTTCTTCAAAAAGGAAAAGATTCTAAAATCTTCTGTTTTCAGTATCAGTCCTGTTACCGTTCCTCTCCATTAAACCATTCTCCAAGGAGACAGTGGTGTGCAGCTTGCCTAGGGAAATTGATGTGACAGAGTTCAAGGTTAGGCTGAGGAAGACACACAGAGACAGCCTCCTATGGGAGGCGGGGGGCGGGAAGAAGTGCTCAGGTCCCCCTAGAGGGGACGGGGAGCTGGGACCAGACTGCAGGAGGGAGTGCTCAGGTCCCCCCAGAGGGGATGGGGAGCTGGGTCCAGACTGCAGGAGGGAGTGGATGGCGGGTGCCCAGTTTCAGCAGGAGGCAGTTCGATGCCTAGGAGCAGCCCCAGAACTGAGCGAGATGACTTGGGTTCCAGAGTTAACACAATCCCTGGAAAGTCAGCTTCCTCCCTTCCCGTGTGGGCTTTCGACGCCTGCTGCAGCAGTCTCCAGTCCTGTGATGGATCGGCCTGATCTGCCAGCGTGGCCCGGCAGATGCTGCCCAAGGGCACCAGTGGGAGCCGCCAGGCAAGCCTCCCGCCTCTTACTCATCCCTGAGTCAGGCTCTCCAATCCCTCCATCCCCTACCCGCTCTGGCCCGCACCCAGCGCAGACCGCCCGCACCCTGAACTCACGCCCAAGCCCCCACCAGAGTCCCGTACTGCGCCAGTGGCCAGGACTTTGTTCACACGGCTTCCTCTGCCTGCTCTATCCTCCCCACTTGTCCAAATCCCTCTTCAAGGCTAACGCTAGACAGAGGAATCGATCTGGGAGCCAGGAGCTTGTGCATGGGAATCTGCCCACTGCATGACCTTGAACCTGGAGGGGTAAGAGAGCTGCGAAAGGGGTCAGAGCAACAGCTTCTCCCCAAGCTAGCAGAAAAACAGCAGGAAAGAAAAACAGCGGTGAGCTCATAGCTACTGTTTTAGACTCAGACCCGCTGACCTGGTGCCCAGAAAGGGGCCTACCACAAGCCCCATATAACCAACCAATCCTGAACTGAAGGTCAAGGACCTGCCTCAACCAACCAATCACTTTCGCCCGTGCAACTTTATGGCCCTTGTCTTCATGAATCACACCTTCGCCTTTGGTCTGAGTATGGTCTTCCAGGGACTGCTCTCCCCACTGTGTGGCCAGGGCCAGCCTCCTGGCCTATGAGCCAAGCACCTGTCCAGGGCCAGGTGCTGAGAAGGGTGCCACCCCTGGATTAATGGTCTCTTGTCGCCAGCTTGAACAATTTTTAACACAGGGTTCCAGATTTTCATCTTGCCCTCAGTCTCACAAACTAGGTCTCCAGCCCTGTGGGTACCTCCAATTATTCTCTGACAGTTAATGTGATGTTTTGGCTGCACCCCTTGAAGCCAAAATCCTATGTGCAGGCTTAGATTTTCCCTGCCTTGGTTAGCAATAAGCTCAGTACTAAGCCTCAGTCCTTGTTTTCTTTTATGTCCTTTTATTTCTGAAATGCCACCTTCTCGAGTCCTTTTCTGGTTAGTCTGGCCCTCCTTTATCTCTGGGCAGCCTGAGGGTTCCCAGCCAGGTAAGAGTCATTGCCTGCTGGAACTCCAACATCCCTCACAAGGATGGAGAGGAAGACGGTGCTGCGGGATGTAAAACAAGTCACTGACCAACGTGGAGGAAAATAGACCGAGACAACGGAGCACATTGTGATTTGCGGGAAACGCAGTGTGGAGCCAAGCTGGTTGTCAGGCACGAGGACTCTGTGACCGCAGGTTAATGCCACGGCTTCCCCATCAAGAAAGTCCCTGCATTGGCGCTCAGGAAAGTACAAATCACTTTTACAAAGCGACTCTGTTAGGTAAAGTCTGTTAAAGAGATTGTTCCTACACCAAACTTGGGGAGTTCCACTTTTCAAGCTACCTCATATCCAGATATTGGCCTTTGAAGAGCATTGCCTTGAGAGCCTGAATCAGCTCTTTTGATCTAAAGATAAAACTTGAAAATTGTACCCAAAGTATTTTAAATGTTTGAATGGCAACCTCTAGAATATCTAGACTCTAGAGATCATTAGAACCGGGAAGAAAACACAAATCTCTGCAATGTGTCTGTTTCTTTTTCAGATTCAGCAGCCAGGATGGAAGGGGATCAAATCAGTCAGGTTCATTTCCTTTCTTCGTGGGTTCATGTTCAACTTCCTTACACTAACCCGCATTTGTTTGGGGGCTCATTATCTCAATAAAGAATCCACTGTCATCTGGAGCATACGTTATATATTTGTACAGGCTTTTCCTTTCACCTCTAACAATGACATTAACTTCAAATATTTCTTCTAAGATTCCCTTCTTAGAATTCCCTCCAGGTCCAAAATCAGAGGGTCACACCCACATCTGACAATACAGGAGTCAAGTTCAACCTGAGCTTAGCACAGGGTCCACCTCATCCTGGGAGCTGGCCGAGCACCAGCCTTCTAGAGTCCAGGTAATTGCCTGGGTGGCCTCCCTGGGAAGATCAGCAGAGATCACGGAAAAAGCACTCGGGATTTACTTTTTCCTTCAGAACCAAAAAATCTACCGCCAGATTTATATGAGGGCTGGGAGAGAGATATTTAAGTCCTAAAAACAGAAATGTTAAAAAGGTTTCTGTTTTAATGGATGCTTGTAAACCACACTTAACAACCCTGTTTTATTGGAAAGAATCATGCAAATTTGCCTTTTGTGGGCAATAGCGGGGCGGCTACAGGTCAGAGGAGGTCAGTGAGATGGTGACCTACACTTGGGCCGGTGCCACAATGAAGCGCCTTCCTGACTTTGCCAACAGACCATCTGGCGACTTCAGCTTATGTGTGGACCCACAAGGGCTGAGTTTCCCAAAAGAGAGCCCCAGAGGCCTCCCCTCAGTAAAGCCTTTGGTATCTGGGCAAAAAGTTAGGATTCACTGCGGCAGACTGGCCGGGTTTCAGCAACTCTCTGCTCAGGTAGGAAGCTCTTTGAAGCCTTACCCTAAACGCGAGTCTTCAATCACAGCCGTCACCGCAGGCGTGAGGCTGTCTCATCGGCTCAAAGTGCTGGCAGTTTGGCCTCTGATGCCATCAAGACAGCTGGCATGCCTGCCCGCTTCTCTGGCCAGAAACTAAACTCTCTCTGCAGTGGGGATGTAAACTCCAGCTGAGATAAATTCTTCTTCTGCCAATGCCCAACAATGATTGCAGTGTTTTCCTGTTTCTGGGGCACCCAGTTTTTACTTGAGAGCTTTCCTTTTTATATCTTGATTGCCCATCACCCTCCATTTTAATGGATTTTTCAGTAAAGTGAGAAGCTGCTGAAGCCCTGATGGGCAAGAGGCTAACCATTACATTAAAGGCAAAAGACTCTTAAGCACATCCCTGCATCCAAGTGATACCCTGCCTTTCCTTTCACCATCTCTTTTTGGTTTTGAAATACAGATGGGTCTTCTGACTTGGCATTTTTCACCTTTCTGGTATTTACTATAGAGGCCTTATCTATATTTTAGGGATGGTTCTGAGACTGTGAGGCACAAGGATGTCAGCACCGTCTTGACCCCAATAGCTGACTGGTGGTACACATGAGGGGCTCAAGAGGTCACCTGGTGAGACTCAACCCCACCCCCCAGCCAAGGACAAACACCTCTCCAGGAAGGGCAAAGATGGCATCTGCTGATTTTTCCTGTTCTTCTTGAGAATGGCCCCACCGATTATAGGATGCTCGTTGCTATGGTGACGATAGGAAGGGTTAATTTATAAGGGAATTGGAAGTTTCTTCCTGAAAAAGTCAGGGGTTGAGATCTTGCATCACAGGCCCCCATGATGCTAATAAAGTGTCCTAAGGATCTATGATGGGGCTTCCCTTGTGGCTCAGACGGTAAAGAATCTGCCTGTAATGTGGGAGACCCAGGTTCAGTCCCTGGGTCAGGAAGATCCCCTGGAGAAGGAAATGGCAATCTGCTCCAGTATTCTTACCTGGAAAATTCCATGGAGAGAGGAACCTGGCGGGCTACAGTCCATGGGGTTGCAAAGAGTCGGACACGACTGAGCGACTAACATACCCACATACAAGGATCTGTGAGGTTCTCTTTACTCACTTAGTGTCAGGAGACCACCCCTGAAGCTACTCCTCACCTCAAGCTGCATGAAGACTACAGCTACCAAGACCCTGAAATACATTCATAGGAGCAAAGCAGTCTCCCTCCTCCCCCCTAGTCCGGCCACCGTCCACAGGCATTAACCGTTCTTTGTCAAGGGCACACCCCAGTCCCAGCAGTTTCTGCTAACAAAGTTTCACCATAGGTCATCTTTTGTTTCTCTGTTACATCTAGATTCGACTGGTTGAGGCAAGTTTGGAAATAAAGGTGCAGCTCTGTTTCCTAAATAGCTGCAATTAAGCCTTTGCCTTGCCTTCTTAAATATGAGAAACCTGCCTGCCACGGATGCCCCAGCGACACTCAGTTTGGCCTCAGCATCCATCTCAGGGGTTCCCTTACCGTACACATAGGAGATCCCCACGAGCTCAAAGATGGCGATGATGACGAGGGCATAGGAGGCGGCGTACGTGTCCACAAGCTGAAACATGTAAATTCCACCCTGGCAGGGCAGAGAGACAAGCAACATCAGGGGGCCTGGCTCCAGGCTGCGTCCCACTTCCAGCAGCCGTCCGTCCAGCCCGAGCAGGGTCACGTGCCAACAGCAGCTAAAGGATCCCCCCTTCTCCTGGAGAGGAGCAACTTAACTCTGGTCTGGTATGCAAGCCAGAGGCCTTGCTGTGTTAGCAAAGCAGTCCCTCGAGAGACTCCGAGCTCATCAACAGCATAAGCCCAGAAAAGTGATCTAACATCTTACTCTTAAAAGGCAAAGGTCAACATTTGAAGATGTAACTGTGAAAGTAGCCAGATTGCATCGTTTTTGCTTTAAGCAGCAGATGGCCGTTTCTACCCATACACCTGCATGTGACCAATCTCCATAAGACCTTCAGGTGTCGATGGGCAGTCCTCACACGTCTGTCAGTGGACAGTCCTCATACCTCCCCCTGCATCTTTACCGCACTCTTAGATGAGGCTTAGAGACCATCTCCTTTCAATCCATCATTTTACAGATGAAGAAACCAAGGCCCCACTTGGTGACTTGCTCAAGGTCCAAGAGACAGCAAAAGCAATATACATATACATCAGGTGAGCAAACATTCATCTTACCAGACACTCAGGACCAAAAGAAACTCCAGTGACCATAGATCTTGTATATTACAGGTAATCAAGTGGAAATTTCCCTGGTTGGTAAAGTTGGATTTCCATGTATTTCATTTTCTTAAAGTAGGACACACCTGTCTCGTTGGCTCAAGAAGGCTACATCTCAATTATGAAAATGCTAGAAGTATCATTAGTAGCCAAAGTGACATATTTCCCTCTGCGGTCAGTCTCTAATGAACTGGTGCCATCTACTTGGAAATGGCAATGGTTTGGCTGTTATTCTAAGGTCTGGGAGTTAAGAGTAAAAAGACGGAAAAGCCATCAGCCCCACCCCCAACCTGCCCCCATCCTAAGCCTGTGTGCGGCAGGCATCTTACCTGGGTGATCATTGGGAAGCCCATGATGAAGAAGGAAACACAACAGCCCAAGGTAAAGACCGGTTTGTGTGTGCGCAGGTACTTGGGGAACTCGTCCGAGATGGAGGTCACTATGGTCTCGATGGTGGCAAACTGGAATGATGCCGGAGAAGGGACACCTGAGGCACTGCCCAACCCCAAAGGCTCAGAAAAAGTCCTTTGTGTTTCCCACCAGGCCAAGTGGTATTTACATGAGGATTGGTCTTTGGGGTTACTTTCCCTTGATGAGTCTAAAGGATCTTGCTGGGGTCCCACCCACAAGGTCAGCAAGGGGAATCTAAGCAGGACGTGAACCTTAGAGCTGTGTCTCCAGCCCCCAGAGGCTGCACTCACATCCATCCACTGCGACACTTTAAGCTTCACTTTGTATTCATGAGATGCAAATTCCTCTCCTCCCGTTTACATCGCATTTGATCTTCCACTTGAGGAGAAAACCCTCCTTGCACCCAACTACTAAACTCTGAGCACCTGTCAGCATGATTTGTAGTAGTCTCAGCCCCAGAGCCATTTCCCTAAAATTGACTTCGCATTATTCTCCCTTATCAGGCCCCACAGAACTTGCTTTGGCAAAAGGACACCCAAGCAGGAAGAACACGGGTAAAAGTTGCATGGAGAAAGGAAAGAGGGAGAGCGCACAGCTCCTGTGCACCATCACCTGAGTCACCCACAAATGCAAGGTTATCCTGAGCCTCGGACAGGCACCTCACTGTCACTACACATCACTTCAGCAAACACGGAGATAATGCTAAGCCCAAACCCTGCCATGTGCTGGATGACAGAGCCCCAGAAGAGGGGTCTTCAGAAGGAGGACTGGGGTAGAGGTCAAAAGGGGACACTCACCATAGTGTCAAGTCCAAGAGTGAGGAGCATCAGGAAAAAGATGATGGCCCAGAAGGGAGACAGGGGCAGCCTGGTTAAGGCCTCTGGGTAAACCACGAATGCAATACCTGGCCCTGGAAAGAACAAGACAGATGAGTGCAGGCAGGTCCGGCTCCAAGACCCCTCTCCCTGGAAGCCCACAGGGTCCTCTCTCCGTGGCAGTGCTGAGTCGTTTACAACAGAAGCTGCTCCTTCTGTGTCCCATGTTTTCACTCCTCTTCATCCATTTCCCCAATTAGACCTCAAACTCCTTGAAGGGAAGGACCAGGGGAATTAGGTCCATATCTCAACAAAACCCACAGGAGAGGCTCAAAGAGAGGGGCAGAGCAGAGACTCAAGGCCAACCCAACAGTGCAGCCAGGCTGGTTCCCATGCAAATAAACACAAAGACCTCCATGTCTATACTAATGGGTCGAGGAAAGACATAATATTACCCTCTAGAACAGTGGAGATTTTACTCCCCAGAGCATATATGGCAATGTCTAGAAACATATTTTATTCTCATAACCAGGATGTCTTGGGGGATGATTACTGGGGTCTAGTGTATAGAGGCCAGATGCTGCTAAATATCCTTCAATGCACACCCCCCCCACAGCAAAGATTATTTTTTTTACCATTTTTATTAGTTGGAGGCTAATTACTTAATGATATTGTAGTGGTTTTTGCCATACATTGACATGAATCAGCCATGGATTTACATNGCAAAGATTTATCCAACCCAAAGGTCAAGCGTGCTGAGATTCAGAAATCCTGCTATCAGGGTTAAACATTCCCAGAATGACATCATTTCCCCCTTTTGCTACCCTTCTTTTTAGTCACTCCTCCAGGCAAAATCTTTTACATAAAACATGAATCAGTGTAATGCTTTTAGGATCTTGCCCTACAAAGGCTTGGTAAACATGGGACTGTATCAGTCCACAGGAATTAGGTGGGGATGAGGGAAACACAAGAGTTAAGAGAGTCTGGGCTCTAGTGGTTAGACCATTCAGGGTCCAAATTCAGAGTCCATGACTTGCTAACTGTGCAACCCTAGAGAAGTTAGTTTATTTCTATAAGCCTCAATCTTGCCTATCTGTAAAATGGGGATAACAATAGTTCTTCATAATAGGACAGTCATGACGAACAAATGAGGAGATGCAGGTAAAGCACTGAGACCAGTGCCTCACAGATCATCAACACTCACAGAATATTGGCTCTTCTTAGGAGCAGACAAGGAACTTGGAAATTAGCAGCTCTGATCTGAGTTTTCCCCAAGAATATCATGTGTGGTCTTGATAGGGGATGTCTGAGCCGTGTTTTTCTCTGCTAACATAAAACCCTGCCAGCCGTTCCTACCTGCCTCATGGCCTCACTGGGAAGATGGTTAAAGACCCTGCAGTTGTGAACTTCCCTGTAAGTATAAGCCTACATGATAATGGGCAGAGACCAGGGAATGTTGGCGTAATCCACAGCCAGGGCATGTCTGGAAGCCAGAAATCGCAGCACCTGGAGTTTTTATAACTCAGTCATAACAGCCCTTTTTTCAAACTGGAATTTATCAGGTTGTTAGCTTCTAATGTTGCCTAGGGCTTTGGGTATTTAAAATATAAAGCCGGGAATGCCTAAGATACCCTCACTTGATGCATTTATTGAACAGACAGTAGAAACAGCCTCTGAAAGCTCCCTGAGCGAACCATAAAAGAAAACTCAGTATTAAACTACAGCTCAAAATTGGTCTCAAACGCAGCACACGGAGGAAGCCAGTTCAGTGCCCTGAACACCGAGGAAGCCAGTTCAGTTTAGGCTCATAAAGCGGACAAGAAGGTCTTAAAATGGCCACTGCCGGAGGACCTCGGCTGACTGCCTTAACAGGATTCCGGCCACTTGGATGTCACTGCTTTTTCAGGGTGGAGAAGGATTTCCAAATATCGGGCCTGTTTCTATTTCGGTGGCCTCCCTACAGGATACAGGGTAAAGGCACCATGTTCAGAAAACTCCGTTTATCCAAGATGGCCGAGTGGATTTTTTAAATACAGGTTTATAATATTTTGTACAGTCCGGGAGGAGAGCCTGCCCGAGCCACGGCGGAGCTTTCCCCGGGTGAGGCTGGTGTCTGACAGAAGCTGCGTCCTGCCGCTTTCAGCAAAGCCCAGGAGCTGGAGAGCAGTCTCCACTGCCCCAGGGACCAGGAGACTCACTCTGCCTCTTACTAGCTGCAGGACTGTAGATAAGACTTGGGGAAGACTCCGGACACACCTCAGTTTCCTTATCCATGCAGTGGGGATTATAAGAGTGCCTACCCTCAGGGATAGGGCTTCCCTGTGGCTCAGCTGGTAAGGAATCCGCCTGCAATGTGGGAGACCCGGGTTCGATCCCTGGGTGGGGAAGATCCCCTGGAGAAGGGAACAGCTACCCACTGCAGTATTCTGGCCTGGAGAATTCCATGGACTGTATAGTCCATGGGGGTTGCAAAGAGTCGGATGCGACTGAGCCCTTCACTCACCCTCAGGGAATCTCTGTGATCCTAGCGATACCAGTGAAGGGCTCAGAACAATGCCTGGCTGTGGACAGAACTCGGTAAGCACAGACCATTATTGCTCTCCCCACGAGAGGGGCCCGAAGGGGCTCGGCAGGCCAGCTTCTCGGGCAGGGCCCCCAGAGACCTATAGCGACAGCCTCCTTGGGCCCAGAGAGCCGCTGCAGACAGGACCAGGGGCTCTGGAGCCAGCACGGCCCACAGCCCACGGGGAGGGCTCACTCTGCAGGTCACCCGCTACACGTGCACGCGTTCTCAGAGGGGGCAGCGCTGAACCCTGCGCCTTTGGAAGCTCTGGCTTCCCGGTGACAGACAGATGGTGGGACGGTCCCTTCATCTCAATCAGCAGGGTCTCTGTACTATCAGGGGGCGAGGGAGGCTTCCCTGTGGCTCAGCTGGTAAGGAATCCGCCTGCAATGTGGGAGACCCGGGTTCGATCCCTGGGTGGGGAAGATCCCCTGGAGAAGGGAACAGCTACCCACTGCAGTATTCTGGCCTGGAGAATTCCATGGACTGTATAGTCCATGGGGGTTGCAAAGAGTCGGATGCGACTGAGCCCTTCACTCACCCTCAGGGAATCTCTGTGATCCTAGCGATACCAGTGAAGGGCTCAGAACAATGCCTGGCTGTGGACAGAACTCGGTAAGCACAGACCATTATTGCTCTCCCCACGAGAGGGGCCCGAAGGGGCTCGGCAGGCCAGCTTCTCGGGCAGGGCCCCCAGAGACCTATAGCGACAGCCTCCTTGGGCCCAGAGAGCCGCTGCAGACAGGACCAGGGGCTCTGGAGCCAGCACGGCCCACAGCCCACGGGGAGGGCTCACTCTGCAGGTCACCCGCTACACGTGCACGCGTTCTCAGAGGGGGCAGCGCTGAACCCTGCGCCTTTGGAAGCTCTGGCTTCCCGGTGACAGACAGATGGTGGGACGGTCCCTTCATCTCGATCAGCAGGGTCTCTGTACTATCAGGGGGCGAGGGAGCCAGGGTGGCACTTCCTAGTGGCCTGGTTACCTGGGAGTTACCCCGTAGGCCCTGGAAATCTCCATGCACCTCTGTGTTCCCCTTCTGGGTCTAACCCAGTCCTGCTGCAGGTGGGTAAGCATCTTGGTAGGGCTCTGGGTAGGATTCTGACAGTGAGTCAGCACTCCCCAGGTAGCTGTGAAGATGGTTGGGAGATGCCTCTAACAGGCTGACTTCCCAGAAAGCTGCTTTTCTGAAGTCGATGCCTGAGAAGACCATGCCCCCTGTAAGAGCAGAAGATGGCCTGGTCTCATACCAATCCCACCCTCAGTCACCCTCAGTCTGATACAGCCAAGATTTGAGGTAGTGACTTTGCGCCTCTCTTAAAAGGGAGCTCTAAACAAAATGCACTACTGTTAGGCCATTAAAGAGAAGCAGCTTTGGACTAAACATCAAAACACAGTTACTAATGCCGGATCAGCACAAATGAACTGAATGTTCACGTGCCAATGTCACCTAGCAAGGAGGGCATGGGGCTGGCACCTAAAACAGGCCTGATCCCAAACCTCTGTCCTGTATTCTGCAGGGCCTCCATTATGCCAGGGGAAGTCAGACAAGCCTTCAAATCACTTACAATAAGGTATGCGAATTCAAATGAGCAGGGTTAGCTGCCCGTGTGTCTGGGAGAAGACTTCAAGGGCCCCTGCCTCTTCCCCAGTGGGGGTGAGACCCACTTCTCCGTGCTGGTGACAATGGGAAACTACCAAGTACAGATATCCCTTGAGCATCACAGGTTTGAACTGCCAGCCTCCATGCACGCGTGGATTTTTCTCAGTAATAAATACAAGACAGTCCACAGTTGGGCAAATCCATGAATGCAAAGGAATCTCTGATTCAGAGGAAATGTATCTACAAAGGGCTGACTAATCAATTATAGCTTGGATCTTTGACTACTTGGAGGTTTGGCACCTCTAACCCCCTGTATCTGAGATCTGCATTGTTCAAGGGTCCACTATATGAACACAACATATTAGAATCCATGAGAAGAGCTCCTCTCCCTGTTAGAGGAAATGAAAAAAATCTAGAAAGGGAAAATTCTAGAGGGAAACCTGGACCATTTGTTTGACGCTTTGTACATAAAGGAAAAACAAAATGTGATTTGGGCTTTAGCAGCGTGTGCCCGCACATCCCTTTCCTGGGGTGGGAAAGCGATTGGAAGAGTGAACTAACACAGCCATGTCTCAGCAATCACTATCGCTGGCCACTCAGCCACTGGCTCACAGCTCAGTAATGTCCCAAGAACAACGAAACACCTCAGACCTGCCAGAAAGTGGGGTAGGACAAGGGCATTGGCTCAGCTCTGGGACGTCTAATTTAGCGCACTGCTGCAGGACCAAAATCCCTGGGGGTCCAAACACTCTCTCCAGGGAGAGATAACTAGCCCCCATTCCCCAGGAACAAGCTGGTTCTTTAACTCTCCGAGGCCCGCAGTGAGCTATCAGCCCACTGAAGCGTTAACTACCGATCCGCAGGGAGACAGCAGCCCATCAAGGAGGTGACATCGCTAAGGCTCCGTTCTCTCCCGTGCTGACGTCTGAGCCATTATCTGAGGTCTGCAGTGAGCTCCTTGAAGAAAGACAACCGCACAGAGAAGCCACAAGACAGGCCCACAGTCTGGACGGTCTAGAGCCCACAGACAGTCCTGTCCCCTCAGCCCCGGCCACAGCCTCAGCCACGGTCCCAACCCCGAGGCATCTCCTAAATGCCTGATTAGAGGGTGACCCTAATGACAGACGATGCCACAATGAAATCCCTTTGTCACCGAAACCCGCTCAACACCCAAATCCTGCGCAGAATAAGGCTGGGTGGAAATTAAAAGTTCAATAAAAGTATTACATACTCTCTGCAAAATACTGTGCTATAAATATGGGTCAAATGAGATTTTAAAATGACAGCCCTCTGTACACGCCAAAGAGACCACACAAGTGTGAGCCATTAACAGATGGATCACCTGGGCAGAGAGTAAACATTTATCCTACATCCCTCCCTCCACCACCATCCAGTCTTTCCACCCACTGGGGAAGACACTGCGGGTCTGCATTGCTAACTAAGCAGAAGGCCCTGAGAGCATGTCAGACCTTACAAGCTGTGCTTCGTCAGCAGAAGGCTGCTCTTATTAATAAGCATTGGCTCCGTGCCTGCAGAACCCTCAGCGAGGGATGCCACCCTGAGGCAGGCCGTGGCCACATCAGCTGCAGGAGCGCTGATTGGCTTAGAGAATCCTCTACATATACCTAACAGGTAGAGACCTTACATAGGCTGGAGCTTAGCTAAAAGAGGAGAGGGACCAGGGACTTCCCTGGTGGCCGAGAGGTTAAGAATCAGCCTGGCAATGCAGGGGACATGGGTTCAATCCCTGGTTGGGGAACTAAGATCCCACACGCCATGGGTCCAATAAGCCTGCATGGTGCAACGAAGACCCTGCATACCACAACTGAGACCCGACATAGACAAATAAATAAATATCTTTTTAAAAAAGAGAGAAGGAGAGGGAAGCAGGAAAGGGCTTTTATAGCCACCCCTCTGGGTAAGGACCGGCCAGCTCTAACTCTGCAGGCGCTTCAGTTGTTCCGGGCCCCTCCACAAAGGGGGACCGAGGCTGCCCCCTCTCTAGCCCGCCCCAGAAGGACAGCTTCCTAGCCCAGCAGCACAAGTCAGAAGGTCAGGATGCAAACGTGGAACCCAGCCCACAACAGCAGGGCGACAACCGCACAGTACCTTGGTCGGCCACGTTCTCGATGTTCACCTTGCGTTCGTTGGCCATGAAGCCGATGACTGAGAAGATGACAAAGCCGGCGAAGATGCTGGTGGCGCTGTTGGTGCAGGTGACAATCAGCGTGTCCCTGGGGGGAAGGGACCGGTCTGTCATCAGCTGTGCTTTGTAAGGAGGAAGGGGCAGGGGAGGGACACACGAATGTGTTGGTGGGCACCTGTGCCTATGCCCATTTCTAAACAGGTGCTCGCTGTAGGCTGGTCTTGTTCTCTCTTATTTACAAGGAAACGAACAGCCTGACCACAGGCTCCCTTGGGCTGAGTGTATAAGCACCAGAACAAAGCTCTGCTATAGAAGCAGGTCTCCCCTCCTGGCAGTAGCACAGTAAGTCTGTCCGTCAGAGCAGAAATTGAAGGGATGGGGGCCTTTTGCAGAGTCTGGGGCAGGAACCACATATGAGAGAAGGCAGTGGGACCACCCAATTTCACCAAATCTTAGAACAGCCTGGGTTTCCTGCACACAGGCTTAGACGGGCAAGCCTGGACGGAGAGAGGCCAGCAGCTCGGAGGCAGCGCCCTCTGCTGGCCATGCGGCTGCGGTTCCCACGCTGCTCTGTCCATCCTAGACCCCGAAGAAGGATCACAGCTAGATGGAGCCATGGGGCCAAATTCCAGCTTAGAGGCATGACCGTGACTAAGTCACTTTCTTTCCACTCCTGTTTTAAATGGAGGCAATGACCCCACCTCGCTCACAGCTCGTGAGGACAGAACCAGATGAGGCCTGGGCCGCACAAAGCCTGGCAGGGAGCAAGGACTCAGGACACGACCTGCCTCGTTCAGCCCTTTGGTTTCAGGTCAGTCGCTCAGTCGTGTCCGACTCTCTGCAACCCCATGAATCGCAGCACGCCAGGCCTCCCTGTCCATCACCAACTCCCAGAGCTTACTCAAACTCATGTCCATCCAGTCGGTGATGTCATCCAGCCATCTCACCTTCTGTCGTCCCCTTCTCCTCCTGCCCCCAATCCCTCCCAGCATCAGGGTCTTTTACCGATGGGGAAACTAAGGCCCAGGAGAAGGTAAGGGGCTCATTAACAGTAAGTTCCAATTGGAACCCAGTCTTCCCACCCCTCAGCCACACCACACAGCCTCATTCCTAACACAACACAGAGCCACGTCTCCCCCTTCGAGGGTGCTCAGGTTGATTTTTGTGGGTCGTAAGTCAGTAAGCAGCTATGATCAAAGCAGCTCAAACTCCTTAGCCTGGCATACCAGCTGTTACAGGCTGAACTGCAGGCCCCCAAAATGTGTATGTGGAAGTCACTACCCCCAGTTTCTCAGAATGTGACTGTATTTGAAAACAGGGTCTTTAAATAGGTAATTAGGTTAAGAGGAAGTCATGGGGGTGGGCGCTAATCCAATATGACTGAGGCCCCAATAAGCAGAGGAGATAAAGGTGCACAGTGGGCAGGAAGACCAGACGGAACTCAGGGAGAAGACGGCTGGCCACAAGCAAGCAGGGAGGCCCCAGAAGACGTCATCCTGTTGACGTCCTGATCTTGGACTTACGGCCTCCAGATGGTGGGGAAGTTAATTTCTGGTGTTTAGGTCACTCACTCTGTGCTATTTGTTACAGCAGCCCCCCACAGACACACACAAAGGCTCTCTCCCCAGCCAATTCTCAGGACCCAATTCCTTCCCACCCCCGTGAGCCCACTCCTGCTGCAGTGCCATCAGCCTGCTCCCCCATATCTCCATCACCCCCCAGCCCCACTCAGCCCCACCTGCAGACATGCCCTCCTCCCCTGCACCTGTTGAAACCTGGCCCACAGAGATGGCACTTGTGTGAGGCCATCCCAGCCAACCTAGGCTACAGCTTACATGTCATCCCTTCCTCTTGGCTCACCAACAATCTCAGGAATGATTAAAAATAACAGTGATGGCTACTGCTTTTTACTGAGCTCCTACTGTGTGTAAAATATTGCCATGAGAATTTTGTATACGTCGTCTCTTACCCTCAACAAAATATTCTAATCTGCATTTTACAGATTAGAAAATGGGGATTCAGAGAAGTGAAGCTTCTTACCCATGTCTTGGAGTCTTAATAAATGGTGAAGTCATAAATGCAAGTCTATCTGACTCCAAGCTTCTTTCCTTTTTTTTTTTAATCAGCCCCTCAAGAGAACAAACCTTATCTTCTTACTGTTTGTCACAGACAGATTTAACTTTCAGATGTCACCTCCTCCAGGGGCTGTACAGACTCTCTCACATCTTTGGGGTTCCAGAGCCCCCTAATATCACCCTATCCAAGTGTCACACTGCACCATCACCACCTGAAGATCCTGTCTGGAAATGTAGATTCCCAACACCCAACACCTCCTGATGTTTTGTTTCTTAAATCTGGGAGGGGACTCAACGTTTGCATAACTTTCGGTTTAACTGACAAATAAAATTGTAATATATTTTAACATATTTAAAAGTATTTAATGTGATGATTTGATAAGCATATGCATGAAACAGGGGTCCCACTGTTGAGTTAATTAACAGCCACCACCATAGTACTTCTTCGACTGTCCCGCACTGCCTTCCTCACTGGGCTCACTAGAAAAACATCTGTCAAGTGAACGCATGACCATACTTCATCAACAGCCAAAATACAGCTGTCTCCACGGACTAGATAGCTCACAAATGACTATCCCAGGACATAGCCAGTGGACCAGCACCTCCAGAGAAACTCAGTTCCATCCTGGGGTCCAGCCCAGGCCACCAGCAGCCCGCAGCTCAGCCTTCGCAGGGGATTTCCTCCACGCCAGATGCAACTGTCTGGTCCTGTCTCAGGTGAAATGTGAGGATGTGGCCTCAGGCATGTGATAACTCAGCCCAAGGTTCTGTCCCCAGGCCCTAGTCCCACTCACCAGCCACCTCTGGGGCTTGAAGTGCCTCTACATACCTGTAGCAATTGTTGTGGAATTTGTTGTAAGAAGAGAGAGTGATCAGGCCTCCCCATGCAGCAGATAAAGAGAAGAAAATCTGAGTGGCAGCGTCTTTCCACACCTGGGAGGCAAAAGAGGGGAAGATTCAAGGGCACTGAAGGAGGCTGGCCTGGGGGAGGGCAGGCTCCCAATGCCACATGGTCTGAGGCTTGGGAGGCAGGGAGGCAATCAGGACAGGATGACTTTGGCACCAATATAAATGGGAAACATACGCAGTCATTTGCACTGGAAACCAAAGAGGCAATGACTGACCTAACTCCATTCTCATCAAAGGAGGGGAACTCAGTAAGCAATGTACACATTTCATGCTGGCAAGCCCCACCATGTAAAACTATACAAAAAGGGAAAGCCCTTTCTTTAGCTAGAAAGCATCTCAAAATAAAAAAACAATTTGCAAAAGCAAAAATATTCATGGGTACAAAAGCAAAACTTTTTACAGCTGACATTCTCAGATTACAATTTACTAAAAATGTGAAATTCTGTAGCCCACCCCATCGAAGTAAAGCATGCTCTATTATCACCACACAATGGATTTTAGTGCCATCTCCTTCTTGAACCTGCCTGACAGCACCTCTTGGTTGTCTCAGCAATTTAATTGTCCTCATAAAACTCCAGAAGGCAACTCAAGAGTTTGAGCTAGAGATTTATATGATTTGATAATGACTTCCTATCATTTTTATAAGTTAAAACCTGTCTTTTAAGTTGTGTTTAACACATGCAAAGAAACAGTTCAGGTATGTGCTGGCAAAATCTGGGCCTACCCCAACCTCTATTGTCTCACACTCCTTGGTAACAAAGTTGTGGTTTCATTTAAAGGCAGCCATACATTCAGCCAATCAACCACCTCCCAGAATCAAGGGAAGACGCAGCTGAGAGGAGATCATATGACTTAATTTCTTGCCGATGATGAGAAAAATCAAGAGTTATATGGAACTTCCAGGCTTTCTCTCTTTTAAAGAGAGAGGGAAGGTGCTCTGCCCCGTCCCTCACTACTTCGTGCTACCTGGAATGCTGACATGATGGCTGGAGCTCTGGCAGCTATGTGGGAGCTATTCACTGAGGATGGTGGAGCAGAAAGGACCCTGTGATACTATGGAGCCATCCAACCAGTGTTTGACTATCTACCACGAGACTGCTGTAGTACCTCCAAGTAAAATAAACTTTTGTTTAAGCTGCCATTATCTGGAGGTTTTTCACTGTGTGCAAACTCAATGGTAGCTATGTTTACTTAAAGTCTTCTGGAAAAGCAGAATTTTCTTTAAGGTGAGAAAATGCATTTCTTATTAAACAATCACCACTTCACATGGAGTTCTAGGGGATTTTAGAATAAGATATGCCTGTACAGAATGTTCCAGAAAGTACAAGTACTTTCTGGAATAAAAAGTGTGTATAAATCTGTGTGTATAAATCTGTCTGAACCCTTTAAATTATAACTGCTTGCAGTTTGTGTAAGTGCCATTATTTTCCAACCAGCAAAACTCCATTTCCAACACACTATACTTAGCAACAGATAAGTGGCATGAGGCGACCCAAAGCTATTAAGGGAATTTCGTTCTTCATTTCAACCTCCACTGCAACCCCAGATGTAGGACAATTGTTCCAGGAATCTGAAACCCCCCTGCTGCCCACTTCTCATAAAAAACTTCCTGTTTGTATGTAACAGTTCAAAATCATCAGGCGCTTGTAAAGGCTAACAGTGAGCTGCCCAGTGAGAGGAGGTCTAACCCCTTCTGCTAAACAGAGTCCCAGAGTGGGACCCAACCCCATGTGCTGTTCCCCTGTAGGGGTGTGATGAATGAAATCAGAGGCCCACCGTGGCATCCGTGAGTTTCTCCCACTTTGGTGTGATGAAGTACCAAATCCCAGCGCCGGCCCCGGGCAGGGTGACTCCTCGGATGAGAAGGATCACGAGCACAACATATGGGAACGTGGCTGTGAAGTACACCACCTGCAGAAACCACCACAGTGCAGCAGGAATGAGCAGACGCACACGATGTGACCAGAGGAGCATCAGAGAGGCAGAGTGTGACCTCCATCCGGACACAAGTGCCTCATGGGCTATTTTTCCCCAAACTCTTCCAGGATGGGGGACGCAATAAAGGCACTGTGACCAAAGATGAGTCAGTGAGAGCCAGAAATAAAGTCTCAAGGGGGACATCCAAGGCTGTGGGCGAGAGTCAGAAGTGGCTAACTCCCTGAGGACCAACTGAGGGAGAAATGCTATATGCCCTCTTCCTCCTGAACACCTAGCTCACCCTCAGCTTGAGGCCCCAAATTCCACCATTAGAGATTCATTTCTTTAGCTTAAATTTTCCATCCTTGTTTATGCACACACACTAACTGAGGCAGCCCAGGGACATGAAAGAAGCATGATCTTAGAATTTGGTATATTTAGATTCAAATGAAATCGCACTTCTGGCACTGAGTAGCTATGAGTCTTTAGACAAGCTATTCAGCTCTCTGAATCTTAATTTCTGCATCTGTAAACGGGATAATAGCACCTTTCTTTAAAAAAATAATTGTGAGGATTAAATGGGCCTCTAGCATAGCACTTGATTAGTGACAAATGGTCACTAGATGCAGTTAAGTTCAACAAGCATTTATCACGGGCCTACTATGAACTGGGAGTTATGCCAGGTCCTAGATGCATAAAGATGAAGGAACTCAATCTAGGAGACCCAGAGCCAACATCTGAATAATGGCTTAGCAGTTCCAAACAGGACAGCTGCCCACTTCTCATAAAAAACTTCCTGTTTGTATGTAACAGTTCAAAATCATCAGGCGCTTGTAAAGGCTAACAGTGAGCTGCCCAGTGAGAGGAGGTCTAACCCCTTCTGCTAAACAGAGTCCCAGAGTGGGACCCAACCCCACGTGCTGTTCCCCTGTAGGCGTGTGATGAATGAAATCAGAGGCCCACCGTGGCATCCGTGAGTTTCTCCCACTTTGGTGTGATGAAGTACCAAATCCCAGCGCCGGCCCCGGGCAGGGTGACTCCTCGGATGAGAAGGATCACGAGCACAACATATGGGAACGTGGCTGTGAAGTACACCACCTGCAGAAACCACCACAGTGCAGCAGGAATGAGCAGACGCACACGATGTGACCAGAGGAGCATCAGAGAGGCAGAGTGTGACCTCCATCCGGACACAAGTGCCTCATGGGCTATTTTTCCCCAAACTCTTCCAGGATGGGGGACGCAATAAAGGCACTGTGACCAAAGATGAGTCAGTGAGAGCCAGAAATAAAGTCTCAAGGGGGACATCCAAGGCTGTGGGCGAGAGTCAGAAGTGGCTAACTCCCTGAGGACCAACTGAGGGAGAAATGCTATATGCCCTCTTCCTCCTGAACACCTAGCTCACCCTCAGCTTGAGGCCCCAAATTCCACCATTAGAGATTCATTTCTTTAGCTTAAATTTTCCATCCTTGTTTATGCACACACACTAACTGAGGCAGCCCAGGGACATGAAAGAAGCATGATCTTAGAATTTGGTATATTTAGATTCAAATGAAATCGCACTTCTGGCACTGAGTAGCTATGAGTCTTTAGACAAGCTATTCAGCTCTCTGAATCTTAATTTCTGCATCTGTAAACGGGATAATAGCACCTTTCTTTAAAAAAATAATTGTGAGGATTAAATGGGCCTCTAGCATAGCACTTGATTAGTGACAAATGGTCACTAGATGCAGTTAAGTTCAACAAGCATTTATCACGGGCCTACTATGAACTGGGAGTTATGCCAGGTCCTAGATGCATAAAGATGAAGGAACTCAATCTAGGAGACCCAGAGCCAACATCTGAATAATGGCTTAGCAGTTCCAAACAGGACACTGTGAAATCCAGGGGAAGGCGCTGAGCCCCACCCGGGAGTTCTGAGAAGATGCATGGAGACGACACACGGCTGGATCTGAGAGGCCAAGTGCAACGTGAAAGAGGTGAAGCCCAGCAGGAAGGTGAGGGAAGAAGGGGGGACAAGGCAGGGGTGAGGGCCAGGCCCTAAACTCACTGGGAGCTCGGCACACAGCTGGGGCTAAGAGCCAAGGGATGCTGGACGCATGGGCCAGGTCGGGGAGGCCCGGAGTCCCAGCCAACGAAGGCTCCTGGGCTTGGGACAGAAGGAAGAAGCAGAGCCAAGAAGCATTTGGGAAATAATACCAACAGAATTTGGGGGCTGTGGTTGGAGGAGGACGAGGAGGAAGCACCTTCCTTCTCTGTCGGTCAAACCTCGGAGTGGAGGACGGGCTTGGGACCAGGACTCTAGATGCAAGCAGCGTGGGCTGGGAGAGCTCTGACTCTGCACTCCCTGAGTGCAAATCCCGGCTGCAACAGTCACGAGCTGGGCCGCCTGGTGAAGTGACCTAACCTCCCTGAGCCTGAGTGTCCACATGGGCAAAGCGGTGATAACCACTGCGTCCTCCTCACGGGGCTTTAGAAGAGCGGGGTGGGACAATCCAGACAACGCAGGGCAGGCCTGGGGGCCCTGGAAACGGAAGCACCACATCCATCTTGCTTACGACTCACCAGTCCTGAACTTAACGACCCCGGCAACCCTCAGCTCTCGAGCCGGTGACATCCCTAAGTGCATCAGAAGACACTTGGAAGGATGAGGTCCCGCGCCCATCCCTGAGCACCCAAGCCTCCCTCATCCGTGACTGGGAGGAGGCACAGACTGAGCACTGTGGGCTCAGAGCCCCTCCGTGCCCACCACTGTCTCCCTTCCTGGGCACCCCTGGCCTGCCCCCAGGAGGGAGACAGAGCCCCCTCTTCACGCACTGGCTGCACAGACCCCAGGGCCTGGCAGGAGGCTCCAGCCTGGCAGGCACTGTAATTTCAGGGGACGAGGTCTGATCCAAAGACTTAGGAAGGATGGCTTGGGAGACAGTTTGAGATGAAGATAAAACTCTCGAGGTTGCTTATTTCTTCAATAAGTACACACATATGCATACATTTGGACACATATTTTTGAGCATCTAATACACTCCAGGCACACGCTGGGGAGGTTGGCTGGGAAGAAGGATGTATTAAAGGGGTGGACAGGGAAGACCTCTTTGAGAAGTTGCCCGGGACTTGAAGGAAGTGAGAGTGAGCCAGCTGGATATCCGGGAGAACATTCCAGACGGCGGGAACCGCAGGAGTAAAGAGCCTAAGAAGGGGGTGTGCCGACCTCCTAGGAGCAGCCAGGCGGCCAGTGCGGCAGGACTTCAGGTGGGAGAGGAGGTCGGGGCCGGGGGAGGGCGGGGACAGGTCATACCTGTAGGGTCTGGGGGCACGAGGGTGAAGATGGGGAGGATTGGGGCAGAGCAGTCACACAATCTAATATTTTAAGTGTCACCCGGTGGCTACATTGCGCTTTTACTGCAGGGGGAGCGGTTAGGAGGTCACGGCTGCAATCCAGGCAGAGGGCAGCAATGGTTCCACCCAGGGCATTTCAGAGGAGCCGGGACAATGGTCAGAAACCAGAGCAGCCGAGCGCCAGGACTTCCTGACGATTTCATGTGGAGAGAGAGACAGGGAGGAAGGAGTTCAGGGTGACCCCAAAGGTTCTGGCCTCAGCCGCTGATGGGCAGAGGAGCTGTCGGCTGAACGGGACAGGCTGCAGGTCAAGGAAAGAAGAGGAGGTACTTCTTCCTCTAAACCCAATTCGATCCCTGGGTTGGGAAGATCCCCTGGAGAAGGGAAAGGCTACCCATTCCAGTATCCTGGCCTGGAGAATTCCATGGACTGTATAGTTCATGGGGTCACAAAGAGTCGGACATGACTGAGCGACTTACACTTTCTAAACCCAGTTACTTGTCAAGGCCAAAGTCTTCCTGTCTACAGACCAGGCGTGGGCTGGTCTCCTGGTCTCCACACAGCTTCCGCCACCCACCAGGGGCCTCTTCCCTGCCCCCATGACAGGGGTCCCTCCTCCGTCCTTGCCCTGAGGCACTGGCATTACCAGGGACGGCGAGGGGGTGGCCTGCTCCCTCCCACCCCCCAAACTTGCTTCTCTCCTTCCCCTTCCACACAGCGGGAAACCCAAAGGCGTCTGCTGTCTCAGGAGAAAGTCACTCCCGGGACGACCCGGGCTGTACCCCCACCTGTCAGATGGGGCCAGAGGAGGAACGCTACAGGGCCCAGCGGGGCGCTGAGCGGTCTGACCTCCCCACCCCACCAAGACCGCAGGGGCCGGGCGACAGTCCTGATCACGTGGGGCTGGGGGGAGGTGAGGATGGCAGGGGGCGAGGGAGACAATGCAAACGGTGGGGTCCGGCAGGAAGAAGACCCCACGACTAGCACCAGTCTAACCGCCTGAGACGCTGCTCCCATTTGACTGCTGGAGGTGGTTCGGGCACAACCGTTTCTGGAGCTCCCGCCACGGATCAGCTCTTTGCAGCCCCATTTTACAGAGGAGAAAACTGAGGCTCGGGTTAAGGCTCCCTCAAAGGGTTAAATATCTCACTCAAGGTCTTCCAGCTGGAGCCAAGATCCAGACTTGACATTTTCTAACGCCAAAGCCTATTTCCTTCCTTTTAATGCCAGTCCTTGAGTCACCTGATCAGAAATGTGAGAGGCACGGGCTCGGGTGAGGCAAGGGAACACCCAGGTGCACAGTTTAAGGAAGCGCCCATTCTCACCGGCCCACCCTGCACGTGCAGGAACCTGAGAGTGAACTCAGCCCTAGATTTCACACCCCAGGCACGTGTCTGCCTCACCGGGTCTGGCCCTGGTGTGTGCAATGATGCACTCGGGTTGTTGATGAGGATTGCCTGTGAACTGAAAGGATGCCCAGTTTCATGTCTAAATCCTGGGGATGCCTCCCGTGTGAGCCAGGTGTTCGTGGAGGTTTGATCACAGCTAGTTTCCCTGTGTCGTGGGGACTTCAGAACACACCTGTTTCAGGATGGACTGTCAGAGACATTAAACTTGAACAGTAATGAATTATACTTGGCAGGAGTGACTATGATGGGTTGATCCCAGCCTGCTGGCCTGACACCTGGCATCATCGTCCTCACGATGGGAGCCCTGAACAGGTGGTAAGGCCACCCCCCTCCCAAGGCTGTGCCGGCTAATTAAGCGAGCTTTCTGTCCTTGCCGTAACTCTCCAGCAGAGCAGCCCCGGAGGTCAGATGGGCTGCGTTTGACCTTCGGGCTGCCTGCTGGTCGCACCAAACTCTGGAATTCTAGCTGTTCAAAGGGAGACAGCGGTCTCATAGAAGGCAACCAGCCACTCTTATCTCCTAGGACCCTAAACAAGAGGACCTGAGCTTATCTTGCTGCAAGAGAAGAAGGACATCTCTGTTGCTTAGAAATGACAATTCTGGTGGAACTTCAATCACAAAGAAGCCTGTTATAATGAGGAGCTGCAGCCGTGCTTACAAACAAAGCTTCATGATTAATGTCGCACAGCCCAGGGCAGGAAAATAAATTGGGACACATTATTTCTGGCGGTATTCCTCATTTTAAAAAATTAATTATTGATCCCTAGTTGGAAATCTTTCTCAACGAAGCAGAAAGATAAGTTAGCAGATCTAAAAGAAAAACTTACTTGCTGCTGCTGCTAAGTCGCTTCAGTCGTGTCCAAATCTGTGTGACCCCATAGACGGCAGCCCACTAGGCTCCCCTATCCCTGGGATTCTCCAGGCAAGAACACTGGAGTGGGTTGCCATTTCCTTCTCCAATGCATGAAAGTGAAAAGTGAAAGGGAAGTCGCTCAGTCATTTCCGACTCTTCCCGACCCCATGGTCTGCAGCCTACCAGGCTCCTCCATCCATGGGATTTTCCAGGCAAGAGTACTGGAGTAGGATGTCATTGCCTTCTCTGTTACTTGCTGAGAGCTACTCAAAAATCCTCATTTCAGAGACAGAGTCCATGATATCTGGCACCAAGGAATAAGGTCTACATCATGCCAAGAACTGATTTTGACTGAATCAGAACTGAACCATCCCCCTAAAAATCAGACTGAGAGATAAAGAGAGGTCTAAGAGAAAATATACTTTAACCCTTGAATTTACAGACGTGGAAGAAGGGATAAAGTGCCTCCTGGGACTTGCCCAACTGGCAATGAGAGCTGACAACGGTGAGATGTCCCGATTCACAGTGCAGACGATGAGTCCAGAATTCTGCGTTTCCACATTCCTAACAGACCCTCCTTGGGGGAGGATGTCATGTAGGGGAAAGAGTCTAGGCTTTAAAGGGAAACACCTGGCTTCAAACCCCAGGGCTGCCATTTAACAGCTGTATGACCTCAGGCAATTTACTTTGATGTGCTTCAGCTTCTCTATCTGTAAAATGGGAAGAAATGTCAATATCCTGCTAGGTAAGGTGGATGGAATGCACTAAAACAGGTGAAGTACACTGCCTGGCCCACGGAGTGCTCAACCAAGTTCCATTTCTCTTCCCATTTTCCCACCAGAGCTGCTGCTTTCAAGATGTCAGTATGGCACAGTACCCACTCAATCAATCAATATCACAAAAATGAAAAGAGCTAATGTTAATTAAGAACTGACTATATGCCAGGTATCCATTCTCTCACCTAATCTTAGAGCAGCTCATGAGGTATGTACCGTTATCCCCATTTTACAGATGAGGAAACTGAGGCTCCTACGGTCAAATAGCTCATCCACAGTTACACAACTAGAAAGTGATAAAGATGGGATTTGAACTCAGGTTGGTCTGAATCCACAGCCAGCAGGTCATCCTTCCTCATGTCAGCAAGAAGCCTGCTGTTATCCTCTTCACCATCACCTCTTCTCCCACCAGTCAGACCTTCTAGCCTATCCTGCTAGAGACCCGTCTGGCCTCTTTGATTATGGTTGAAGTTGTCCTCTCTCCATTTCCAGCTATAAGTGATGGTCCTGCCAGTTGGATTTTGGCTGAGCAAAGGTGTGGTCACTCTTGCTAAGCAACCTCCTGTCTGGCCCTTTATTCCCACTCGAAGCTCAGTTCCAAGTCGCAGGAGGTGAGGAGACTCGGAAACCCTCAGGACTCACAGGACGTTCCTGTCAATGTCATGTTAACATCTTCCCCATTTTCTTGTTGCCCTAGAAAAACAATCGCTCCAGTCTCATAACACTCATTCAGAGTCAGCGGGTGCCTCAGGGGTCACGTGATCCCAGCTCTCGTTTTATGGAGAAGGAAACTGAGGTCAGAGAGGGAAAGTGCCTGCATCTCAGCCAGCAAGTGTTCTGACAGAATCATATTAGAGCCAGTGAGTCTTAGACATCACCCAGTCCAACTGCCTTCACTGTGGAAATGAGAGAACCATTAGCTCCTGAAATAGCTAAGATAAAGAAAATCTGCTGTCTACTTACTGGCAAAGAGATAAATCAAACCAAGGGCAAATGTGAAGCCCAGACAGGTTTCATGGCCCAAGTGGAGATGTCCCTACACCTTGGGAAGGTCTGGGGGACTAGAACCCAAGCCTGCTCTCTCCCCACCTGATGTCATTTAAGGGCATCACCTGGCTCAGGTGATCCTGACCAAGATGCCAGAGTCCACCGTTCGGGCCCACGTGGAACCAGATTACATGGAGGGCACCAGAGGCCCTGACGATCTTGTCCACGTGTCTGGGGAGAAGACAGACTGCTCTGTGTCACTGATGGGTGTCGTGTGGGTGCCTGGTGGGGCCTGGGAAACACGCCCAGCAGGTGAAAGCTGGCACAGATCCTCGGCCCTATGAGGCCTGATCCTTCCAAACTGGTTGCATCTCATTGTGACCACGCTAAGCCCTGACCCAGACAACTGGACCACGTCAAACTCTACAACCTGTGGACTCAAGAGTCCACCATCACACTCTATTCCTTAGGCCTTTGAGACAGTTCGGGTTTCACTCTGAAACATGCAAATGACTCTTAAGATAATTAAATATTATTGGTTGTCATCAAAGAGATTGGTTAACCATTTAATGGTTTTTTCTTTTTCTAAAGAAGCAGGAAGACGAGGGGAAATGCTGGGACCCTACCACGAGGTCCAGTGTGCCCTGGGGTCGCCCACACGCCCTGTGTGTTGTGTCCTGGAACCGAGCTTGGGGCAGGGGCTTCACCACCTCCAAAGGGCCAGCCAAGTGACTACCTAGCAAGAGGGGCCAAGCATGTGCTCCACAGAAAGATATCCCGCTGGCAGGACCATCACCCTTTACTGCTGGGGGCATGTGGGGTGGGAGAGTGTTAGGCTCCGGACAGGAGAAAGGGCATGAAAGGCGGAGGGGTCAGCAGTGGGAGAAGGAATCCACTTTACAATTTTTATCTTACTGCAGCTCCTTGGGAGGAGCAGTAATTGAGCTGGCAGCCAGACCAAGATGCAAAAAGCCAGAGCAGTGATTCTAGAGCTTGGGGAACTGACTGAAGCATATCGGGGATTCCCATCTACTGAATGAAGGAATGAATACAGGAAAGGAAGGAAACCCATCCATCCCCTAGGAGCCTTGAGAACATCTGTCTCATTTAACCCTTAAAACCTCTGGGGCAGAAAGGCGCTATTATCCCATTTTACAGATAGGAGTGAAGTCACTTGCCCAAGGCCCCACAGCTACTCAGGGCCAGAAGGAGAACCCGCAACCCTGACTCTCTTCCCAGGTGCTGGGAAGACCACACAACCGGCCCTGGGTGTCCCAGAGCTTCCTCTTACTTTTCCTTTTTTTCTCTTACTTTTCCTGAAGTCTTGATTCCCTTCGCCAAGGAGGCATATACAATCACCCAAGCCAGGAAGAGGCAGAGGGCTAGTGGCCACCTGATCTCGCCAGGATACTCAATCCCTGCAGAAATCTTCAGCACAAAGTACCTGTGAGTTCAAAGCAGAGAAGTGATGGGGGCGGGGTGGGGAGGGAGGGGGGCAAGGAA